CAAATCCATGCCCACTCCCTCCCCTCCAACTCCTCCCGTATCTCCTCATCACTTTTCTTCTGATAACTTCATGTGATTTTTTTTAACTTAAAAGTTTTTTTATTTTTATTTATTTTTTAGCTTTTTTAAAAATTTATTTTATTTTTATTTTATGTGTATGCGTGTATTGCCTTCATGTAGGTAAGTGCACCAGTGTTGTGCAGTGCCCGTGGAGGTCAGAAGAGGCTGTCAGATCCCCTGGGACTGGAGTTATGGACAGTTGTTAGCTGCCATGTGGGTGCTGGGATTTGACTGAGGGTTCTCTGCAAGAACAACCAGTGTTCTTAACCACTGAGCCATCTCTCCAGCTCCTCCTTTTTTTTTTTTTTTTTTTGTCTTTTTGAGACAGGGTCTCCCTGTAACCCCAGCTGTCCTGGAACTCACTATGTAGACCAGGCTGGCCTCCCAAGTGCTGGGACTAAAGGTGTGCACACCACGCCCCACATTCTTTTCTTTTCTTCTTTTTTTTTTTAATGGGGCTTTTGGCTACTCTAACATTCCCCCTTCTGAAGAGGTAACCCTAAAATCTTTAAGGATTAGATAAGAGCTCTCAGATACTTTCGACATTTTGGGCCTTTGGAATGGAATATGTTGCTAAGAGGCCCAAGGACGTTTTAACTTTTAGCCAAGAAACTGGCTACTTTTCTTTGGGGGCTTTTTACCCCAACTGCCTACCAATTCCTACCTCCTATCCTTATCACACCATCCTCTGAAGAGGTTACCCAACTTGTGGATAGAGAACCGGGAAGGTGTGGTTAATCTATAAAGGTGAGTGGATTACAGATTCCTGGCACACCTGACACCTGACAATTTTCCCAGGAGCCTCAACTAGGTTGAGAAGCAGGAGGCAGAGGGATTGCTGCAGGGATGCTTCCACTCTGTGTGTGAGGGATGAAAGTCCAGCTCCAGAGAGACACCTAATGGACAGGAACCTGAGAGATGGGGTGGGTTTCCCTAGCAGGGAAGGAGGGTGGGGAGGGACACCTGGGACCAGCCCAGAGAGAAGACAGAAAACAGATTCTTGGAGGCACTGACTCCAACTCACCCAAAGGATCTGAGTATCTCTAGTCACATTCAAGCCATTAGGATTGAGAGACACATTCCAGAGGGGTTAGAAGTCACAGGACAAGGGGTAAGGCAGATAGTGCTGACTCCTGCCTGTCAAGTTTTACTGCACCCTGGAGCCCTTCCTGGCCTTGTCATCCTGACCACAGGATGGCCACTGGGTCCCTGTTAGCAGTAGACCCTTGAGCTGCACTTTGGCCCTCTGGGAAGGTGACCACAGGCAAAGTCTGTAATTAGAGGAAGCAGGAAAGGGTGGCGGGGTCCATGGTCCACAGGGAGGAGCCAGAGCCCCATGTGGCTTGGGCTAAAGGTCTCTGCTCAGAAGGGTAGGGCAACATTACCAACTGCTGAAGAGGCTGGGCTACACCTTCCCAGCAGGGCCTCAAACCCGGTGCTGCTGATTCTGCCCCAGGTGCACTCCAGAGCAGAAGCCAAATACTGCAAGTCTGGAGGAAATAACGTTTGTAATAGTAGACCATGATATGATAATAAAGTAATTTAATAATAAAGCTTATAAAAATGACACATTTTGTGGTAGAAAGTTGAAAGAAGCAAACTAGTATGAGGAAGAAACACTGAGTTCCATTACTCAGTTACTGTCACACACACAGGTATCACCCGGGAACCTGCTTTTTCCAGCATTTTAACACATTTCAACTTAATTGAAATTTTATGTGGTTTTAAAATATTTTTATGTATATAAATGTATTGCTTGCATGTGTGTAAGTGAACCTGTGTCATACAATGCTCGGAGGTTAGAAGAAGGCATTGGATCCCCTGGAACTGGAGTTACAGATAGTTGTTAGCTGCCATGTGGGTGCTGGGAATTGAACCTGAGTCCTTTGCAAGAGCAGTCAGTGCTCTTAACTGCTGAGCCATCTGTCCAGCCCCTGAATTTTATATGTTTTAATTAATTTTTTTTCACTTAACATTATAATATAAGCATTTTCTTTTTTTACTATTTTTATTTTATGTATATGAGTGTATTGCCTGCATGTATGTAAGGGCACCTATGTTGTACAATGAGGAGGTCAGAAGAGGACATCAGATCTCCTGGAGCTGGAGTTACAGATAGTTGTTAGCCACCTGAAGGTGCTGGGAATCAAACCCGGGTCCTCTGCAAGAGTCGGTGCTACTAACCACTGAACCATCTCTCCAGCCCCATGATATAAGCATTTTCTATGTTTTCACAAACTGCATGCTTTTCTTTTTTTTGTAGTATGTGGGATAAAATCCAGATCTGAATTTTAAAAGTATCTTATTTATTATTATTTTGCCTTTCTTTTTTGAGACAGGGTCTCTCTTTAGCCCCAGCTGCCCTGGAACTCACTATGTAGACCAGGCTGGCCTTAAACTCGCAGAGATCCGCCTGCCTCTGTCTCCCAAGTGCTGGGATTAAAGGCGTGCGCCACCACGCCCAGCCTTTATTATTTTTATTTAATGTGTATGAGTGTATTGCCTGCATGTAAAAGTGTCATGCAATGCTTGAGGAGGTCAGAAGAGGACATCAGATCTGGAGCTGGAGTTAAAGACAATTGTTAGCAGCCATGTAGCTGTTAGAAATCGAATCCGTGTCTTCTGCAAGAGTGACTGATGCTTTTAACTGCTGAGCCGTCTGTCCAGCCCCAGATCTGCAGTTTTTTGATTACCCACTTGACCATTGAACTGCACCTCAGCCCGGAAACATAATTTTGGTTTTGTTTTCAGAGACAGGCTCTCAGTCTGTAGCTTCACCCACTGCAGAAGCACCCACACCCAGGGAAGGGGGCATAGCCGTGCTCTTCTCAGCACCTCATCTGGAAAGAAGGCAAGCAACACTTTGAGACAGATTCCCAGGAGCCGTCAACAGTCCAACACTGTGGGTGGTGGAGCCCTTTAATCTCACTCCTTATAAACTATCCCGAGGGAAGAAATTCAAAATAATGAAGATATTTTTAGACATGTCCCTCTGTACCCAAAATTGTAACACATCTAGATGTTCAATGATAGGAAATACCTGAGTAAACATGGTTTATTCCAACCACTACGACTTAGGCTTCTACTGCGTAGGGCGGTGCACACCTATAATGCTAGAATTCTGGAAGCTGAGGCAGGAGGATCACTGTAAGTCAGAGACCAGCCTCGGTTATATAGTGAGTTCCAGTAAGACCTTGTTTCAAAAATGAAAAGAGAGAGAGAGGAGAGAGGAGAGAGGGGAGAGAGGAGAGAGGAGAGAGTTGGACGAGTGGGAACTGGCAGGGAGACATTTAGTTGGTCGTGTGGGTCTCAGTTTGGATCCAACCCTTGCTGATTCATTGACTATTTGAGACTCTATGGCCAGAGTCTGAGGCTCTGGGATACCCAGGGTCCTACTATGTTCCTTAGAAAAAGAGACCACTTGGGACTCAGCAGTTAAGAGCACATAGTACTCTTGAAGAGGACGTGGGTTCAGTTCCCAGTACCCACACGCTGGCTCACAACTGCCTGTGTGTCTAGTTCCAAGGGATCTGATACCCTTCTCTGGCCTCCATGGACACCTGCATGCACATGGTACATATAAACTCATGCAGACTGACACACACAGGCAAATAAAAATGAATCTTTTAAAAAGAGAACGAGAGAGACTACATCCCCCTTGCTGCTTTGGTGAATGGTGTGGTTGTGTGACTAGCCGTGTGAGGAGCAGAGTACCCTCCGTTTTTTCCTATTTCTTTTTCTGGCTGGAATTGGATATAATGCTAGGAGCTTGATCAGCCAGCTTGGAAAGGAGGGGGCTAGTAGCCAGCAGTTTACGGTGGCAGAACAACATGGTGAAGAATATCTGGGCCCCTGCTAACTATGGATTGGCCACACTAGTCCTGAATTGCCAACTCTACACTTCCTTCAAGGAGAGACATACAGAAACATCTTTAAGTCACTACCATTTGTTGTATAAATACTTGTGCATTTGTCTGAATTTGTTCTATTAGTTACATAGTTTTCTCTCTGTGTCTGTGTGTGCCTCTGTCGTCTCTCTGTGTGTCTGTCTCTCAGTCTCTCTTCTTTTCTGGTTTCTTCTCTTTGCTACCTCACAGTTCAGTCCTGGTACCCGCTACTGCTCTGGGCTCCCTCAGGCAGAAGTAGGGCATGTCACCCTTCTGAGAAACCGGAGCAAACATACCAACTCAAGGCCTGAAGTGCAGGAGAGTGATGTGTGTCCATACGGTGCTGAGCAGGCAACACTGGGCATCCAACCATCCTATGATGCTTTTGATGTCCCTGTCCCGACTACCAGTCCTGGTCCTGTATCCTTCCTGATGGGGTCCATCTGCCCCCTGCCAGCCTCAGTGTCCTCAGCCCACTCCCTCATGCTGGTCACTCTGAGGCCCCCCAGCAGCTGTCTCAGAGCAGGCTGCACAGTAAGCCTCATGACCTCAGGGGACATAGTAGATCTGCCCCCCTCAGTCTCCCAGTCACCCCAAGACTTCAAGGTCTCATCTGGGGTCACAGCGGGAGCCTGGGTGGGAGAAGGCAGCTCCTTGCTATCTCCTTATCCCGTTCTCCTCTATGGAATCAACACTAGGTTTGGGGGGTGGGGGAGTCAGGGTTGGTATCCTGGGTACCAGAGCTATTGGTGAGTGCCTGTCTGTTAAGGCCCTCTGTGTCACCATTTTACTTGGAAGAGAGGTGGTATGGACCCCAATGCATCCCTGCAGGGAGGGTGATGGGGGCAGGAAAGAACCCCAGTGTCCCTCTGCCCTCTGCCCCACTGTTACCCCTGAAGGAAGGTGTTGGGGTTGCTGGCTACTGAAAGGGGTTGTCTTGGCGGGCCTGATGCTAGCTCCTCCCTAGTACACCTGGGCTAGCTAGAGGAGAGGGAGGAGCTAGTCCTACACGGAAGTCAAGTAACAGAGCTGGCAGCCTGGCAGCCACTCTCACACCCCCCAGCACCGGCATCTAGAGCCCCACGTTGACTCAGGGACCAGTGCAGCTGCCAGCATGAAGGTGAGCCTGGGGCTCCATGGTCGCATGCCTGCAGCCCCTGCAGCTGCCACTCTTCCCTGGAAGGCCTGGTGGCTGTTCCTGCCAGCCTGCTGGCCAGGGAGAGTGTAGCTATAGTTTGGATCATGACTGATGGGGCAGGCTAGGGGTGAGGTATGACCCATGAAACCACTTCCCAACCCTAACCTGGGATTCTGGGAATCCCAGATCTGGGTTCTTGTGAGTGTGTGACTTAGGTCTTCTCTACCAGAGTCCTCTGTGCAGGTGAGGACAGAGGTGCTGTGGTGGAACCCCTAGACTTGCAGCTGGCACTGTGGGAGAGGTACCCACACAAACATAAACGTCTGTGGGCATCGGGGTAGGCTGCCCTGGGAGGCCTGAGGGCCACTGTTCCCTGGGTCCTGCTCTAGGCAGAAGGCAGCTGCAATGTTGGACTCAGAGCCTGGGGTGCAGAGCAGGAGGCGAGATACAGGAGGTGGGTGCTTTTTGGATAACATCGTTTGTTTCTCCTTTAGTCAACCAAGAGGTGACCTGGGGCAGGGACCGGCACTGGCATCCCCGGAGAGGAGGCAAGGGCGAGGTTGAGAGTGAAACCAACCTCCCTCTCAGTCCCAGGCCTCCAGGCTGGGCTATGTGGGTGGCTGTTCCCTCCACTTTTGCCCGTTCCTCTTCCTGGCTCTTCCAGACCCAGCTTTGGTGGCTGGGTTCTCAGGCTGGCACATGGACAAGTCATAGCCCAGCCCCAGGATCTCCTGGCCAGTCTCTTTCCTGTGCCAGCCCCAAGTTGCTGGTAGAGAGGAAGAGCAGTAGCCCCTAGGAACTCAGAGGACTTGGTAGTCCCAAATCCTCGTTGGGGTTAAGCCTGCCCTCCACTGCTCAGATTCTCTCTATGGCTCCCCATTGCCTTTGTTGAAGTTCAAGCTCCCCAGCTGCCCCAGAAACCTTCCTTGAGCTGGCATCTTCCCACCTCTGTTTTCATCTTACGGCTCCCTTTTTCCCTTTTATACTTTTTCAAAGCTGAGTGCTGAGGACTGAGACACCAGGAGTAATAACTACCAAGTTCCTGGAGGAGCTGAGGACTGAGTTCTTTTTATTTTTAAATGAACTTTTATTTTAGTGTTTTTGAAATAGGGTCTCATTATACAGACTTGACTGGCTTGAACCTTGCTGTGTAGACCAGACTGGCCTTGAACGTACAGAGATTTGCTTGCTTCTGCCTCCAGAGTGCTAGGATTAAAGGTGTGAGTCACCACGCCAGGCCTCTTTTTAATTAAAAAAAAAATTATTTGCGTGTGTGTGTGTGTGTGTGTGTGTGTGTGTGTGTGTGTGTCTATTTGTGGGTGCAGGCACATGCTTGCCATGTCACTCATGTGGAGGTCTGAGAACAAGTCTCAGGAGTTGGTTTTCTTCTTCTACCATGAGGATCCTGGGGATAAAACATAGGTCTTAAGACTTGATAGCAGGTACCTTTACCTGCTGAGCCATCTCTCTGGCCCAGGACTGAGTTATTCTTTTTTTAATATTTATTATTTTTATTTTATGTGTATGAGCATGTTGCCTGCATGTATGTGAGTGCACCTGTGTCATGCAATGCCTCAGAGGTCAGAAAAGGGCGTTGGATTCCCCTGAAACTGGAGTTAAGGATGGTTCGTAGCCACCATGTGGGTGCTAGGAATCAAACCTGGGTCCTCTGCAAAAGCAGTCAGTGCTCTTAACCACTGAGCCATCTCTCCACCCCCCAGGACTGAGTTATTGAGAGCAATCATTGCTGAGTCCTCTGAGGTGGTAAGGATTGAATCTCTACAGGTGCTGAGGACTGGATTAAAAAAACCCCAGCAATTGCAGCCTGCCTCTCAGGGCGGCCCACATGCGTTCTCTTTCTCAGAAATGCTGCCTTTACTTTTTTACCCTCCTGCCAGTCTTTGGCCACATGAGGTCAAGATTGGGGCCACCTCCCCTACCAAGTAGATGCTCACTTCTCCAGTGTCCTTGTTTACCCACATCATGCACCACCTTCTAGGACAGCACAGAATGAGCTGCTTGTTCCATGTCTGCGCATGAGTAGTTGGGCAGGTACAGGAAAGGATGGATTGGTGTGTGACAGTTGGTGACAGATGGCTGCAGAAAGAGATGGGGTGAGAGACAGAGGCTTCACAAGTTCTGAGGAGGCAGAGAAGGTGACCAGAAGGCAGTGGGCTAGAGTAGGCTGAGCCTTGGGCCACAAGGGTGGCCTCTGTGTTGCACACTGTGGTGGGGCAGGAGGGTCCCCCTGTGAACTGTGAAACTGAATAGTGTTCAAGGGCCCAGAGCACTGGGCCAGGGAAGTAGAGGTGATCTTAGGATAAGGTGGGCCAGGCATGATGGAGGAACACGGTCTACATGCCTTCCATGTGCTGATGGGATGTAGCCATATGTGTGCACTGTGTAGCCCACAGGTCAGGCCTGGCTTGGAGCTGGATGACAGCTGGATGCATAACTGTCTCCACTGACTAGAGGATGGATGGGAGGTGTAGAGCCAGGAGCAGGCCCACCCAGCTCTTGTTCTCTGTGTTTCTGATCATTAGAAGGAGGATTTCTTGGGTGCCGTGTGTCTCACCCAGTTGGAGTCGGGGGTGGTCTCGTCCACAATGGAGTACTAGGGGCTGCAGCCAAATTCTGGGCCCTGGCCACCATGCACGGCCTGTAGGGTTGAGGTGGGAAGGACCAGGGAAGGTGACAGGAACTCTAGTAGCTGAGCATGTGATTTCCTTCATTCTCTTCCCTCCTGGGCATATTGTTAGACTGATTATTCGAGGCAGAGGTGGTGCCATCCCATTTTATAGGTCAGAAAATTGAGGCTCTGAGAGGGCTGGCCACATTAGAAACAGGGCTGGTGTCTGCCTGATCTTGAACCCCAGTCTGGTTGCACATGACAAGGTTGGGGCTGAAGCTCCAGAGCTCCAGCTCAGTGTATGGGGACAGCCCTACCCTTACCCTAGGTACCCTGGAGTTTTGGGAGGTCACACGGCTTTCTAAAGGTAGAGCCTGATGGATGGGGACCCAGGGGGCTTGGACACTTCAGGTACACTGGCTGGCCCTAGTCTAGTTACTCCCAGCCTACAGCAAGGTGGTCCCAGTCACAAGGCTCTGTGCTCATGCATGCTGGGCTCACCAGCACAGCCACAGCCACAGTGCCCAGCCTTCAGGGTCAGGCTGTCCAGCTGTCCTCCAGAGACACCTTTTGTGGATCCCCCATGGGTGGTGATACCCATGGGCCTCTCAGTGTTACCCTTGGGGCCTTCATGGTGGGTCCAGCTCATGAACCTGTCCTTACCTCCAGCCAAGCAGATTGCTCAGTGCTAAAAAACAAAAACTAAAATAATCAAAACCGTCCATTGTGTTGTTTTGCTTTGAGACAAAGTCTTGTTCTATAGCCAAGATGGGCTGGAACGTGCTATGTAGACCAGGTTGGCCACAAACTTACAGCAATCTTCCTGCATCTCCCTTTCATGTGCTGGAATGCCATGCCCAACAAGCCTGTTTATCTATCTGAAATTCCTACATGACTGGGTGGCCTGTATTTTGTCTGGCATCCCTTGGGCTGACCTGCTGGAGCAGTCTAGTGTGACTCTCCGGAGGAGGTGGCAGGGATGTGTTTGGGAAGGGGCGGGATTATAGTTGTATGAAGTGGGGGAAGCAGGCTAGGCCCGGCAATGGGGTAACTTCAGGGGTGTGTGTATAGTGCAGGGAGAGAGGTAGGTGCTACTGAGGATGAGGGCTGGGAGCTAATGACAGGCTAAGCAAGACTCAAGACCAGTGGGCCATGTGGGGGATGAGGGCAGCATCCCAACCTGCTGACCAGACAGAGAAACAGCTTTACTTGGCTACAGGTGCCTGGAAACACACAGTCCCCAGTGTACCTACCCCTAGGACTCTGGTGCTATAAGGTTCCTGTCACTCTGTCCATCCACCCCTGTGTTGCTAGCCAAAACATGGGCTCCGGCTGTTACCTGTGTGTGCTAGGCCAGGGAACATACCATACATTGTATCCACCTCCAGCATCTGCACTATCTCCTGAGCCAGTTTGCCTACTCAGTCCCTCACATGACCCTTCCAGGTTGAGGTTTGGAAAAGCTCAACCTGTCCCAACATGCCTGGCAACCCACTCCTCCCTACCCCTCCCTCCCTGCTTCCTGTATAGCCTTCACCCCCAAGAACGAAGGCCCTACTGGCTCTTTGCTTCAGCCCTCAGGCACCTTGTTTGCTGAGAGTAAATGAAACCCTAAGAACCCAGTCCCCAGCTCCAATGGAGACAGAGACCACAGTACCCACTGCCCTTTCTCTGTTCCCCTCCCTTCGTGGTGCAGTTTTATCCCATCTGTGGGTATTCCTAAAATTACACAGCTTGACTTGGGTTGGTGCTGCATCCTGACACTTGGAAGCTGAGTCAGGAGGATGGCAAATTCAAGGGCAGCTTGGGCTCCATATTGAGACCTTATTTAAAAAACAAACAAAACCCCAAAAATCAAACAAAAACTACAGCAAGTATAGTGTCCCATGTTTGTAACCCAGTACTTAGGTGATGGAGGCAGGAGGATCAGAAACTCAACTTCATCTTCCCCCACCTTGCTAGTTTGAAGCCAGCCTGGCCTACGTGAGGCTCTGTCTCAAAAATTCAAACAGCTAGAGAGATGACCTAGCAGTTAAGAGCACTGGCTACTTTTTAAAATTTTTTAGCTTTTGGTCTTTTTGAGACAGGGTCTCTCGATAGCCCCAGCTGACCTGGAACTCACTATGTAGACCAGGCTGGCCTTGAACTTACACAGATCTGCCTGCCTCTGCCTCCTGAGTGCTGGGATTAAAGGCGTGCACCACCACTTTTGCAAAGGGCTTGGGTTCAGTTCCCATCATCCATATGGCAGTTCACATTCATCTGTAACTCCAGTTCCAGAGGCTCCAACAACCTCTTCTGGCCTCTAAGAGCTCCTGCATGCACATGTTGCACATACACTCATCTTGACGCACACACACACACACACACACACACACACACACACACACACACACATACACACACACACACACACACAAACTGTGGTTAAGAGCACTGGCTGTGTTTGTTACTCAGCACCCACATGGTGGTTAACCATTTATAATTCCAGTTCTGGGGGAATCCAATGCCCTCTTCTGGCCCCCGCTGGCATTGCATGACATGGATGCACTTACATACAGGGAGGCAAGACACTCATACACATAAAATGAATTTAAAAAATTTGAAGCTGGACATGGTGCCTTTAATCCCACCACAGGGCAGAGGCAGGCATATCTCTGTGAGTTCAAGGCCAGCCTGTTTTACATACGGAGTTAGGGAGTTCCAGGCCAGCTGGGGCTACAGGGAGACCCTGTCTCAATAAAGACTAAAAAAAAGAAAAAAAAGAAAAAAAAAAGAAAAAGAATATCTAAAAAAAACCAAACCAAAACCCAAGAAAACAGGAGCTCCCACATGATTACTAAGAATCCTCCATAATTTCAGTTCCAGGGGAATTCAACGCCCTCTTCTGGCCTCTGCAGGCATTATACACACGAGTGTACTTCCACATATATATAAAATTTTAAAAAATTAAAAAATTAAAAAAAACAAGATAAAAAAATAGCCGGGTCTGGTGGCACATGCCTTTAATCCCAGCACTTGGGAGGCAGAGGCAGGCAGATCTCTGTGAGTTCAAGGCCAGCCTGGTCTACACAGGGAGTTCCAGGACAGCTGGAGCTACAGGGAGACCCTGTCTCAAAAAGACACACACACAAAGCTGGGTGTGGTGGTGCACGCCTTTAATCCCAGCACTTGGGAGACAGAGGCAGGCAGATCTCTGTGAGTTCAAGGCCAGCCTGGTCTACATAGTGAGTTCCAGGAAAAGGACCAAAAAAAAAAAAAAAAAAAAGACACACACACACACACAGATAAAAAGTAAAAAGAAAGCACTCTTTTACTTTTTAAAGTTGATTTTCACTTTATAAAGTCACCAGGTGTGGTAGTACTTACCTTTAATCCCAGTACTAGGGAGACAGAGTCAGGAAGATTTCCAGCCTATTCTACATGGTAAATTCAAGACCAGCTAAGGCTCCATGGTGAGACACTGTCCAAAAAGAAAAAGAAAGAAAAAAAGTGAAGAAAGGGGAGAAAAGGTGTGCGATGCCAGAAGTAGACTTTTGAGGCTTTTTTTTTTTTTTTTCGAAGAAGGGTCTTACTATGCAGCCTTGGCTGGTCTGGAATTTAACAAGATCTGCCTGCCTCTGCCTCCCAAGTGGGGGGATTAAAGGTGAAGGCTTGTGACACCACACCTGGCTTGAGGTTCCTTCCTTCCTTCCTTCCTTCCTTCCTTCCTTCCTTCCTTCTTTCTTTCCCTGTGGCTCCAGCTAGCCTATGTAGACCAGGCTGGACTAATTTCACAGAGATCCACCTGTCTCTGCCTCCCACCTGCCTGCCACCCCGCCCCTTGAGGCTTGTTTTCTTAAAGACAAGCTTGTTTGAGATTTAGGTTTGCAACAGAGCTGGAAGGTCATTTGGTGTCCTGAAGTCCTCCGCTAGCTCCTTGGCCACAGCTCGGGAAGATGCTCTGCTGCTCAGCACTTCTAGCCACAGACCCATGTCCTTTTCCTGGTCGGATCACTCAGTATCCTGTGTAGCTTTTAACTACCGTCTTCTTAGCCCCTCTTAGGAACCTTCTGTTCTAGTGACCTGACTTCTGGATAGCCTGCACATATCCCCCAGAACGTGTCTGAGTTCTTTTCATGGTGGGATGGATGATAGGCTTCAGGGAGCAGGACTGTGGCCCATCTGCATATCCTGTTGGGCATCAGGTGCCCAATGAAGTAACCATAGCCCTCCTCACAGGAATTGGGAGTAGTGTTGGTGCCCACTTTTTTTTCATCCCATAGTTTTCTCTAGACACTGAATGTAGCCCACAGGGGGAGTGACATACGCCCTTCACTTGGAAGATCTGGGATCTTCACTGTGGCCCAGTGGGAAACAAGTTGGAAAATCCCAAGTCCTTCAGACTCCACTTTTGACTCCCAGCAGTGGGAGATGTGCCTGTTCTAAGCCCTTCTAAGGCCAGGCCACAGGGTCAGCACTTCCTGATTTAAACCCAGTACAAAATGTTCCCCAAGTTCATACGGACCACCAGCAGTGCACAAGTGCATCTCTGGCATCCCTGGGCTTTGGGATCTTCAGACTCTTTAAAAAAGTATGCAGCTGGTACATCCTGGCCCTCTCTGTCTTGAGGTTGCATCTCTTCACCTATCAACTGCTCACTGGGAGTCCCTTCAGTAACCTCTCTGTAAGCCATTGTCTGTCTGCCACTATAGAAATAGGGCTATCTGTCTTTCCTTACAGCCCTCCGGGGGCTCCTTAGTTTTCCACACAAACTTCTGGATGTGTTACATCTGTCATCCTCTGCTACTCACTGCCATCCTTAGCCTTATCTGTACCCAGAACCACCTATTTGTGGACTAGTTTCTGGAAATCCAGTCCCCAACTTGGAGTCGGGGAGGTGTAGCTTGCCCCTTTGGATATCAAAGAACTTTCTCAGGTTGCAGGAAGAGCCCGTGAGGGGCTGACATGTCCTCTGCCATCTCCCCTTTTCTCTCTGCTTCCTAGGGTGAAGAGAGCCTCCACATCCTGGTGGAGTCAGAAGGGGACAACTTTCCACTGATGGAGATGGGCACTTGTGTGGTGGGTCTGGGCAGACCTCCCAAGCCTGACTCCACCCCAGCCCCCTTGCTCTGCTTGTCCTGTGCTTTGCCCTTCTGATACCTCCTCTTATCCCATGTCCTGCCCTGAGTTCCCACCCTATACCTTCCCCCATTCTGTGTCCTGCACTGGATTCCCACCCTACACCATCTCCCATCCTGTGTCCTGTGTCCTGTGTCCTATTTCTATCCCATACCTCCTTCCTCTAGCCTGAGACCTATGGGCCGTGGGACTGTGTCCTGGTAGCCGATCTTCAGACCCAGCAAAGAGAGGATCAGGTTCAGCGGCAACGGCAGTTCCTAAGGAAACTAGAGAGTAAGGGCTTCCACTTCAAGGTGAGCTGGTGTACATCAGGAGCCAGGTCTTGGGCCAGAGAGTCATGTATAGGGTGGGGGTAACATGGTCTGTACCCTGGAAGCAGGGAACAGGCCATTGGCTGTGTATGAGATGGTCCCCTGTGGCTCCCCAGATGATGAAAGATCAGAAGAAGGTGTTCTTTGGGATCCGAGCTGACAGTAGGATCTTTGAACTGTACCACACTCTCCTCATGGAGCCTGATGATCCTGGCCCCCAAGCCAAGGGGCCAGGCTCAACTCATATCCCAGTTACCACGAGGTGAGTCTGTTTCCAGAGCCAATCCAAGAGGACCCTCACTCCATATCTAGGCCAAACAAGGGACACATCCTTTGGCGCTAACCCGAAGGCGCTATCTGAGGCAGAACAATACAGCTCTACAGAGTCTCAGGGTAGATCAGGGGATCAGACCCCCCTTTTTGAGTAGGGCTCTGTGCGTCAGTTTCCATTCTGTGATGGGGATAATGACAGCTCACTTCTTGCCATGTGAGAGCTCCTTACGATTGTTTTCCTGGAGAAACAGGAACAGTCAGCCAATGGAGTAGGCGGCCGTCCCCCCTGGACTCTGAGGGAGTTATCCCCATAAACCTTTTCCTAACCGACTCAAAATCCCCTCACTTCCCAGGCACCCAGACTGAGAGGTATGGCATGGAGGGTCCTCCGTGTGCCCAGTACCTGCTACTACAAGACCACTCACTCGCCCTTCCCTGGTCCTTCCCCATCACTTGCCTAGCTCCAGGCAGAGTTAGCTGAGGCTAGTGGACTCTGGCAAAGGCAGTCTTGGAGTTTGGTCACTAGGCAACAGAATCCTGTGAACACAGAATTTGTTGGTATTGGGGATGAATGAGGGAAAGTCAGAAGAATAGAGGCACCTTGATGGGGGCCAAGAGGAACAGGCACTTGGTAGATGGTGGCTGTGTCTCAGGCACTCTCAGGATGAGCCTGAGGATGGCTCTGTACTGTGTGGCCTTGGGTAAGTTACCCTAATCTTCATGCTTCAGTTTCCAAACAAGCAAAATGACTCATAGGCATGTAAAGAGGATTTGTGTATGTTAATAACTTTCAGCATGTGCTGAGATGGATGGAGTGTAATCAGAGGTGAGGTCACCTGGGAGGGAAGTGCAGGCCTGAGAGTAGGGGACAGGACTCCTGGAGACCAGACAGGACTGACATGAGGTGGCTTTCAGGGGGATTTGTGGACTGACTCTGGATTCTAATCAGCATTGGTGGGCTAGTACCTCTTCTAGGACAGCACAGGGCCTTAGGGGACTGGGCCCACCGGGCTATCATGGGACTGTCTTGACCCTTAGGTTCTTGGGTTTCAGAATCCGAATTGTGAATTTTGTTGTGAACAGCAAGATGAAAGCTGATGGTAAGCATGGATGGGCAGGTGGCTCTGTGAGCTGGATTCTCCTGTCCTCCGCTGTTCTCTGACTGAGGCTCCCTGTGATCCCCAGACACCTTTGAGAAGCTGGTAAAGGATGGGGTCTTTGAGACCATGTTTCCTCTGCACAAGGTGAGGGAGGGATGGACCAGTTCAGAATGGGCCTGAGGGCGGGAACCTGAGGCAGGAAGCTGAGCTCTCACTGTCTGTATCCCAGGGTGGACAGGGTGAGAAATACCTGAAGGAACAATGGGCCCAGTGGGGAAAAATGTTCCAGAAACAGCCGACTGATGCCATCAGGTAATATTGTACCAAGCAGCTCACTTGTGGGCCATAGACACATCTGTGCCCAAAACAGATAACGTGTGACCCAGCAAACCCTGAAAGATGTGGTTCCTACTCAAACTGATACTAGCAGCACCCTCCCTCCTCCCCTCTCCACATAATGTCTACACACCACCAAACACTGGGGCTGCACTGGATTCCTTGGAGAGGGTGACCCTGATGGGGCAGCTTGCCCACAGGGACTACTTTGGTGAAAAGGTGGCACTGTACTTCACTTGGCTTGGCTGGTACACCTGCATGCTGGTACCTGCTGCTCTGGTAGGCCTCATCGTCTTTCTGAGTGGCTTTGCCCTGTTTGAAGCCAGCCTGATCAGGTAGGTTGGGCCATGAGGTCTTGGGCTTCGTTGTGGGCCAGGGATAGAGGTTGGAGACTGGGTGGGCCCTACAGCTGAAATTGCCAGCCTCAACTCTACATTCCTAGCAAAGAGATCTGCAATGCCAGTGACATCTTCATGTGCCCACTTGGTGACAACAGCCACCGCTACCAGCGGCTTTCAGAGATGTGCACTTTTGCAAAGGTTTGACGCCACTGGGGTCCATCCAGGGCCTGCACGAGGGCTGGCACAGTCTGTCCATCTAGAGGTGGGGAAACCTGAGTGCCCTCAAGAGCTGGGCCCTTCCTCCCCAGCAGGGGACGACCCAGTATGAAGTCCTTCTCCCCTCCCCAGCTCACCCACCTCTTTGACAACGACGGCACTGTGGTGTTTGCCATCCTCATGGCTCTGTGGGGTGAGTTGCTGCTGACTCTTCCTGGAGGGTCTTAGGGACAGCTCTGTGGCCACCCCAGTCACCCAGGGTGTGCTGTGACACCTCCCTCTACTCACTGCAGCCACAGTTTTTCTGGAGTTCTGGAAACGGCAGCGTGCCTGTGCGGTCCTGCACTGGGACCTATATGGTTGGGATGAGGACCAGGTGAGGAGGGCCCAGCAGCATGAGGCTGCTTGCTCCCATTGTCCCATGTGGCCCACACCTGTATCCTTGTGTCTGAAGCATATGTCCCATGTCTCAGGCACATCCCATGTCTGAGGCATGTCTTGTGCCTGAGGTATGTGTCCCCATGTCTGAGGCATGCTCTGTGTCTGAATTATGTGTCTCCATGTCTGAGGCATGTCCTGTGTCTGGTTTGTGTCCCCGTGTCTGAGGCATGTCTTGTGTCTGAGGCATGTGTCCCATGTCTGAGGCAAGTCTTGTGCCTGAGGTATGTGTCCCCATGTCTGAAGCATGCTCTATATCTAAAGTATGTGTCCCCATGTCTGAGGCATGTTCTGTGTCTGAAGTGTGTGTCCCCGTTTCTGAGGCATGCTCTGTGTATGAGGTGTGTGTCCCCATGTTTGAGGCATCTCCCATGTCTGAAGTGTGTCTCCATTTCTGAGACATGTCTGATGACCTCTTTAGGAAGAGATGGCCCTTGAGCTCATTAACTATCCCGACTACGAACTTCAGCAACACCAGCACTCCTACCTGCGTAGCACCATCATCCTGGTCCTGTCCCTGTTCATGGTACTGCTGGGAACTGTGGTTGGGGGCTGGAAACCTAGCTGTCCCAAGCTCTTATGCCTCCCTCAACCTTCCCCAGATCTGCTTCATGATTGGCATGGCCCATGTGCTGGTAGTCTACAGAGTGCTGGCTGTTGCCCTCTTCAGCAGGTTACTGGAGCAGCAGGTGACCACGATCGTAGTGGTGACTGGGGCCCTGGTACACTACTTGACCATCGTCATCATGACCAAGGTGGGGTTCAGACAGAGGAGGCTCCAGGGAGCTCCTCTGAGTCCACAGGTGAGCCCCACTCTGTGCCTTCTTTCTTCAGGTCAACAAGAGTGTGGCCCTGAAGCTTTGTGACTTTGGTGAGAGGACGCTGGCCCTTTTTGGGGAACTTGGGAGGATTTAGGGTTGGGGGTGTTGGTGCTTGATCAGACATGGGTTGGGGGCTTCCTGCTCCTCTGGGGCCTTTGACTTGAGAAGTGAAGGCCATGGCATCCCCTAATGGCCTGGGGAGAGACAGGATGACTACGTCTCATTCCAGAGAAGCCCAGGACCTTCTCGGAGAGAGAGAGCAAGTTCACTGTCAAGTTTTTCACCCTGCAGTTCTTTGCTCACTTCTCCTCTCTCATCTACATCGCCTTCATTCTTGGCAGGTGAGTCCCCACTCCTTCCTCCCTTGGCCCTCAGCCCTTGGCTGGTTTCCTGCCTTTTAAATAGTTAGATCTTGTGGCTGGGGATGTAGAACAGTTGGTGGTGGTGGCTTAGCATTCATGAAGCCCTGAGTTTGACTTTTAGCCCCACATAAACTGGATGTGGTGGCACAATCCTGTAACACGGTACTCAGTAGGTGGCGGCAGGAGCGAGTTTGAGGTCAGCTAAGCTACATAAGAGCCTGTCTTTAAAAAAAAATCTGTTCTTTTAACTTAAATGGTAATTCATGCCCCTAATACATAGAAACCCAATATAGAGTGACTTCCACGTGACACCAGGCCCCAAAGGTGTCACAGCCCAGCCTAGTGGTTATTCTTGCATGTATGTGTTTACTTGCACACAGACAATTGCTGGTGAATGTGGTTTTGCTGTGTCAGTGATCAGATCTGCTTTTACAATGAAGCATCCAGGGACATCTCTGCCCAGTATCCCCTATTCCACACACCTTTTTGTGGGGGTGCTGAGCTTCATGAAGAAGCTGCATGAGGGTCCCCTAGCCTTCTCAGTGTTGAATGGAACTTTTTGTTTTCTATGAAGAAAATAATTGCTGTTTTGTGTACTTGCTTGAATTTTATAGGGCATGTAAATATTGCCAGTTAATTACAAATTGCCTACCAGAACCTTCCCTTCCTGCACCCCACCAAATCTCTTTGTATGTTTAAAGATGTGGGGGGTTTCTCAACCTGATCTGTCCTTGGAGACTATTCCTGGCATGTTGTCTCTGGGAAGATGTCTTTCACTTTGTTTATTGTTTTTATTTTTTATTTTATTATCATTATTTTAATTTTTATAAAAGCTTTATTGAGAATTTCATACACACATATAAGGTATTTTGATCAAATCCATGCCCACTCCCTCCCCTCCAACATTCCCCCCTTTGAAGAGGTAACCCTAAAATCTTTTTTAAGGATTGGATACAAGCTCCCAAATACTTTTGACATTTTTGACCTTGGAACAGAGTATGTTGCTAATGGGCCCAAGGACATTTTGACTTTTAGCCAAGAAACTGGTTACATTTCTTTGGGGTCTTTTTACCCTAACTGCCTAGCCAATTCCTACCTCCTATTCTTATCACACCATCCTCTGAAGGGGTTACCCAAATTGCCAATAGGGAATAGGGACGCAGACGGCTCTGGCTTCTTCTATGCTGAACGCTTCCATGCTGAACAGGGATGCAGGGTGAAGAAACTGGAGTACTAAGTGGGTCTATCTAAAAGACTCCCAAATTGCAAATCTGTTGTCTCTAAGGAGGAGAGAAGAAACTCCTTGAATCATGAATGGGAGATGTGAAGGAGAATTTGAGGCAAGAGTAATTAGCATTACAAGTTCTAGAAAGGGAACTAGAAAAAAGTCAGAACAGGGCAATTTTCAAATGTTATATGAGAGTCCATTGGAATTTCTTGACAAGGGCTTCCAAAAGCATCCCTCTATTGGGTCCCTCCTCCTTTTTCTTTTGTCTTCCAAGTCTGGACTAGTTGCTGGGAAGAGTAGCTGGATACTCAGGTGAGGGTCCAGTGGCCCTGCTTGGCCCTCCTTTAATGAATGAGCACAACTGTCAACAAGCCCAATTATGACTATATTTAGCAATCAGGCTCAGCTGAAGTTGTGATGATGGTAGTTATTTCATGAAGAAGGGACAGCTGTATAGCATCATCTTATTAAAAGGACCACCACGTGGAGGCAGGATCTTGGGGCTGTCAGGCTGACCCCTGGGTTCTCAGGCCCTCTGGTAGTTGGAGGCCAGAGGGAGGCCAGAACCCCACATTCTCTGGCTGTCTGATGAGCTCCAGCAGCTACCTTGATGGAGGTGGTCCAAACTCACTCTCTCAGGCTGTCGCCTCAAACTCACAGAGATCCACCTGCCTCTGCCTCTGGGATTAAAGGCGTGTGCCACCACACCTGGCTATGTTTTTTTTTTTTTAATATTTAAATTAAAAATTTTATTTTCATGTTTTGGTTGTTAATTTTACCCTTTAACAGCTGTGTTATACCTCCAGCCCTACTTTTTAAAATTTTTATTTTATGTGTATGAGTGTATTGCCCGCGTGTAAGTGCACCTGTGTCGTGCAATGCCCGTGGAGGCCAGAAGAAGGCATTGGATGCCCTGGAACTGGAGTTACAGATGATTGTTAGCCACCATGTGGGTCTGGGAACCAAACCTGGGTCCTCTGAAAGAGCAGTCAGTGCTCTTGACTGCTGAGCCATTGCTCCATCTCCCACTTTGTCTATTTTTTTTTTCTTCAGTGCTGGGGATCAAACCCAGAGCCTCACACACGCCAGGCAACTGCTATGCCATTGAGCTGCGCCCTATCCCTGAATTCAGTATTTTCTTGATGAGATCAACTAGTTTTTCCCCCACTTGAGCCTCACTTATTCCATAATTGTCTTATTTCCTGAGGATCCATTTCTGTTTTTATCATCATTCCTTTTACTGATGGGTCTTTCTTTGCTTCTGAATATTTGCAGCTATCTACTTATGTAGCTGAGAACAGAGGACTGAACTGTTTTCCTGGCAGATGGGAGGGTCTCTGTAATAATGGCTTGCTTCCACCACACATACTGTGGTAAATGTCTCACATTTATTTAATTCCTATAACAGCCCTATGTGATGGGCTCTTGGACTCATTTTACTTTTGTTTTAGTTTTTTTTAAAAAAATTATTTATGGCCAGGCGTGGTGGCACACACCTTTAATCCCAGCACTCTGGAGGAAGAGGCAGGTGGATTTCTGTGAGTTCAAGGCCAGCTTGGTCTACACAGTGAGTTCCAGGACAGCTGGGGCTACAGGGAGACCGTCTCAAAAAGACCAAAATTTTTATTTTATTTAAAAAATATTTAATTATTTTATATGCATGAGTATATCGCCTGCATGTGCATAAGTGCGCCCATGTTGTGCAATGCCCTCAGAGGTCAGAAGAAGGTGTCGTCGGATCCCCTGAAACTGGAGTTACAAATGGTCGTTACTACCATGTGGGTGCTGGGAATCAAACCTGGGTCCTCTGTAAGAGCATTCAGTGTTCTTAACTACCGAGTCATCTCTCTAGCCCCTTTATTATTTCTTTTATTTTGAAATATATTGTATATTGCCTGAATGTATGTAAGTGCACCAGTGTTGTGCAATGCCCATAGAAGTCAGAAGAGAGTGTTGGATCCCCTGAAACTGAACTTATAGACAATTGTTAACCACCATGCAGGTTCTGGGAATTAAACTCGGGTTTTCTGCAAGAGCTGCCAGTGCTCTTAACTGCTGAGCCATTTCTCTAGCCCAGCTTTTTTTTTTTTGTTCTTTTTTTTGAGGCAGGATCCCCCAGCTGGCTTGGAACTTGCTATGTAGACCAGGCTGGTCTCAATCTTGCAGAGATCCACTGGCCTCTGTCTCCTGAGTGCTGAAGGCATGTGCCACCACATGTAGCTTGCCTTCATTTTCTAGATGGGACAACCAAGACCCAGAATGGTTAAGAAACTGCCTCAGAGTTGCATCCAATAGCTAATATTTGGCTACTGAGTGTAGGTCCTTAGTTGCTGTGTGCAGTGACTCTTGTATGTGGGGCCTTTTGGAAATAGGAGGTGAAGGGAGGGCAGATCCAGCTGCTTATACTATGAGGGAAAGTTTCCTCTTCGTGGAAGCTTTGTCAGTTTACTCCTCTGTAGTTCCTATAGTCTTCAACCATCTTCACAAAGCTCTTTCCCATTCTTAGTAAAAACCGTTAGATGTTTAAGGTTTCAAAATCTTAAAAATTAAAAAAATATGTGTATGAGTGTATTGACTGCATCTGTGTAAGTGTACCTGTGTCACACAATGCCCTCAGAGGTCAGAAGAGGGTGTCGGATCCCCTGGAATTGGAGTTATGGGCGCTTGTTAGCCACGATGTGGGTGCTGGGAATCAAACCTGGGTCCTGTGCAAGAGCAGCCAGTGTTCTTAACTGCTGAGCCATCTCTCCGGCCCCTAAGTTTCAAAATCTTTGATTCATAAAGAATTTGTTCTGTTACAGGATAAGGAAGGAAGCCTGTTTCCGTGCTTTCCTGTAGGCAGCCTGTTGTCCTTTGCCATTCCTTGCCTAAGCTTTTTTTTTCAGAGTGCTTAAATATCTTATTTGAACTCAGTAGCCACAAGTGTACAGTCATTGACCAATTCTGCTGAGGAAGAATTGGGCAGAGTGATGTTTAGAAAGCCTTTCCCAAAGTGTTATAAAATTTTTCAAAAAATATTTTATTATTTTTTTTCGGAGCTGAGGATTATTATTTTTATTTATTTTTAAATTTTTATTTGTTATTTTATGATTTCATATAAAACATCTTAATCATCTTTATACCCCCTTCTCCATTGGCACCCTCCTCGGTTTGTAGGTGCTGGGAATCGAACCCGGGTCTTCTGCAAGAACAACCAGTGTTCTTAACCACTGAGCCATCTCTCCAGCCCCTTATTATTTTTATTTTATGTGTACAAGTGTAGTGCCTGCATGTATGTGAGTGCACCCATGTCGTGCAGTGCCTCGGAGGTCAGAAGAGGGCTTTGGATTCCCCTGGAACTGGAGTTAAGGATGGTTTGTAGCCGCCATGTGGGTGCTGGGAAACAAACCCAGGTCCTCTGCAAGAGCAGTCAGTGCCCTTAACTTCTGAGCCATCTCTCCAGCCCCAGTGTTATAAAATTAGGATATGAAAAAACAAGTTGGCAATGAAGAAGGTTGACCCCTCCTCTGTCCCCCACCTTCCCTAAACTTTTAAAATGTTAATTATATGCTTACTCTTTTAGATAAACTGCAGAATCATTCTGTCAAATTCTGTGAAATTTAGTTTAAGATCACAGTAAAATTATACATAATCTTAGAGAGACTTGGCATGGATACTGTATTAGTTAGCTGTTGCTACTGTAACAAATGATACTGTCTTTTCTGGAGTCCCAGATGGTTCCTCCAATGTAATCAAGGTGTTGACAGGGCTGTTTATTTCCAGAAAGTCTGATATATTTTCCAGTCTACCTCTTTACTCACCTTAGAGACCCTGTGGTTACACTAGGTACATCCAGACACCTCAGGAGGTCTGCATGGCAGTCAGCTAATGCACATCTTCCATACCCTCTGCTTTGTCAGATGGGATCCAAAGTCACAGGCTCTAAGAGTCAGGATATGGTTGTCTTTGGGGACTGTTAACCTGTCTGTACTAGGTCAATCCTGACCTGAGCCCTCTTGACAAAGAATGGGTTTTCTTGGGGCTGGAGAGATGACTCAGGGGTTAAGAGCACTGGCCGCTCTTGCAGAGGACCCAGGTTCGATTCTCAGCGCCCACATGGTAGTTAACAACCATCTTTATCTCCAGTTCCAGGGGACTCTAATGCCTTCTTTTAACTTTCTTGAATATTGCACGACACAGGTGCACTTACGCACATGCAAACAATACACTCATACACATAAATAAAAATAATAAATAAAAAATTAAAAAAGAATGGGTTTTATCTATTCAAGTCTTCATTTATGCCCTTCAGCAGGGTATTGTTTTCTTCACAGGTCCTGCTGATTTCTTGTGAATTTCATTCTGGTCCCCACCCCCAGCCCTGCATCTTCTGTCTCACTGGCCTTGGGTTCTTTTTTCTTTTTAATTCTTTTTTAGAAACCTTTTTTTTTTTTTAATTTTATGAGTATGAGTATTTTGTCTGTGTAAATGCACCATGTTCATACAATGCTCATAGAGGCTGAAGAGGGCATCAGATCCCTTGGAACTGGAGTTACTGACAGTTGTTAGCTGTCATATGGGTGCTGGGAATCAAATCTAGGTCCTTTGCCAGAGCAGCCAGTGCTTTTAACTGATAAGCTCTCTCTCTAGTACCTGGCCTTGGACTCTTAATCTAACAACCTTAGTGCGCTGAGTGCTAGAATTACAGTTGTGTGTGTTACCGAGCCTGGCTGTGACTGATATGCCAGTTATATACTTTATATTTCTCTTGCTTATTTGCAAGTGATTGCAGCATCATGCTAAATAATGGCTACCATGAATTTTAATGTAAATATTTACAGGATTTCAATGTTGAACATGTACCCCTATGGTTTAGAACTGTTTATACTTTAAAAAAATTTTAAAAATTTATTTTTATTTTATGTGTATGTGTGTATTGCCTGCATGTAGGTAAGTGCACCTGTGTCATGTGATGCCCTCAGAGGTCAGAAGAGGCTGTCAGATCCCCTGGGACTGGAGTTATGGACAGTTGTTAGCTGCCACTTTTCACGTGGGTGCTGGGATTCAAACCCATGTCTTCTGCAAGAACAACCAGTGTTCTTAACCACTGAGCCATCTCTCCAGCCCTGAGAACTGTTTATACTTTTTTTTTGTGGTCTTTTTTGAAACAGGATCTCCCTATAGCCCCAGCTGGCCTGGAACTCAGTATGCAGACCAGGCTGGCCTTGAACTCACAGAGATCTGCCTGCCTCTGCCTCCCAAGTGCTGGGACTACAGGCGTATGTCACCAGCTTAGAACCATTTATAATTTTTATCATGTTACAGAAATCAAATAATTTTATTATTGTTGCTGTTTTTGCTCGTTTTGAGACAAGCATGTGGCTCAGGCTGGCTTCAAATTTGCTATGTAGCAAAGGATAGCCTTTGTAATTACAAAGGCCTGTTGGAATTACAGGTGTGTACCACTACAGTTGGCTTTTTTTGTTTGTCTCTTGAGACGGGATCACACTGTAAGGTAAGCTAGGCTCAACCACACGGCACTGCTTCAGCCTCCTGAGTGCTGGGATTGCAGGAGTAAACCACCATGAATGACTTGAAGCAGTCACTTTTCATCACGAAATGATATTGTATGCAGTTTCTATGGGGAGGGCCACGGCCATGCTCTACAGACCTTGTCTGTATGTATCTGAGCCTAAGAAAGTGCCTGTGTGAGGCTGAGCTTGAGCCCCAGACAAGCTCATGCCTAGGGCGGGGTGCCTCAGGGCACTCCCTTCCTGACATTTCTTCCCTGCCCCTCTGCATTCCCCTGGTGACAAGAGACAAGGTACTGTCACTCTTCCTCACAGGTCTTGGTTTCCTCCCTAGGATCAATGGTCACCCTGGGAAGTCCACACGCTTGGCTGGCCTGTGGAAGCTGGAAGAGGTCAGTCTGTCCTTTGGCTTCATTGTCCTGTCCCTGAGCTCTTTTCCTCCCTTGAGTTCCATCCCTGTCCACTGGTCATGGGCCACTCCTGACGTCCACCCACTGACCTTTCCACAGTGCCATCTCAGTGGCTGCATGATGGATCTGTTTGTCCAGATGGCCACCATCATGGTTCTGAAGCAAACCCTGAGCAACTGCATGGAGTACCTGGTCCCGTGAGCACACCCTCCTCCCCCAGCCCCTCTATCCCTCTTTCCCTGTGCTTATCCCCATTGTCCTATATTCCTTCTGTCTGTCTCACTTACTTTTGGTGCTCACAGGTGGTTGGCCCATAAATATCACTCAATGCGTGGTCCTAGGTCTGGAGATCCAGAGCTTCAGGAGTGGCAGCGTAACTACTACATGAACCCGGTTACCACCTTCAGTCTGTTTGATGAATTCATGGAGATGAGTGTGTGGGGCTCCAGTGGACTGGGCAGATGAGGTGGTAGGCAGGGTGGGCAGTAGGTGGCTGCCCTGGGCCCAGAGTGACACTTCCACTCTGCAGTGATCCAGTATGGCTTCACCACCATCTTTGTGGCCGCCTTTCCACTGGCACCACTACTGGCTCTCTTCAGCAACCTTGTGGAGATACGCCTGGATGCCATCAAGATGGTCCGGCTGCAGCGGCGCTTGGTGCCTCGAAAGGCTAAGGACATCGGTCAGGGGCCCTGCATGTTGTGCTGTGAAGGAGGGTAGCCAGGTCTCTGGGAGGGGCAGCTTCAGATCATGGGTTTTCCATCAATTCATGCTAGGTCACGTTGAAGCAACTTGTAATAGCTGAAGCCCCCTTACTCCACAAACAGACAATCCCTTGGTCTGCCAGAGATGGGGGCTGAGTTTCATAGGCTTAGTCCCTAGGAAAAGGCAGGACTGGGGTACACTTGACAGGGCCCTCCCTTGGGCCCCCAGCATCTGGCTGAAGAGCTTGCAGCCTCCATGGGGGCCATGTGGAAGAGTCGGAGTCTGAGAGCATGGGAGGGTAGGTCCTGTGGCTGGGGACAGGAACGGACAGCCCAAGGCTTCAATTACCACGACTGCCCATAGTGAGGAAGATGGGTATCAGAGGAACAAGGGTTGAGATGCTGAATGTGGGGAGAAGTGGTGGGGAGAACCCTAGTCTTAAGCCCAGGTTTAGGGATCCTAACTTGGGTGGTGTCTAGAGTGAACATTTGCTGAAGAGTTCCAGGAAGAAGGTGGGGATGGGGATACCCAAGTCCTTCACTGTTTATGCCAAGAAAGGGAATGCAGGTCAGCAAGGCCACACTATGTCTATCTTGACTGGAGATTTCCTAGTGAATAACTTGGCCCCCATGGCTGTAACAGGGCCATGGACAGAGATATTGCAAGATTCCTTTACCAGCCAGGCCTTTGGGGTGAGAAGATGTACCGAGGATCAGGGCTGGCCGACTCACTCAATTGCTCTGGCTTAGGGACGTGGCTGCAGGTGTTGGAGACCATTGGAGTGCTGGCAGTCATTGCCAATGGGATGGTCATTGCCTTTACCTCTGAGTTCATCCCCAGGATGGTCTACAAGTACCACTATGGCCCATGCCAAAAGAACACCAACAACACAGTCGAGTAAGGCCTCAAACTGTCAAGTCTCCTGAGAAACTGGCTCTGCCACAGTTAAGCTCCTGGAGTTCACACCTGCTTTCCTGGGAACAGCTAGGTTCTGTCACTGCCATCTGGGGCTGCACTGAGGCTGGTACTTGCCACTCCCTGCCCTGCCCACATGACCTACATAACCTGGCTGGACACCAGGAATAGCTGACGGACCCTTGTTGGGAAGGAGGTGCCAGGACTAGTTGATACTGAGCAGGCAGTACCTGACTGGCTCCTCTGCAAAGTTAGACCCTTTGTCTTACTTCTAGTATGGGAGAGTAGAACAGAGCTGTGTCTAGCTCCTTAATGCCCCTGCAGACTGGGTCTCCTGGTAGGGAAGACAGCTGGTGTCAACACCAAGGCCCCCAACCTCCCTATCCCCTCCCAGGCATGGCCTTGTCCTTGGACAGCAGGCCTTTTCTCATGCAGGGAAATGGAGCAGGCCTTCTGGGGTGTGCCCTATCCCTGTAGCCCCCTAGATGCAAGTGAGCCCCCAGCAGGGGTCTCAGGGCCTGAGAAATCAAGACAGCCCCACACTTCTTTCTACCCAGTTGCCTCCAGGGATATGTCAATCACAGCCTGTCTGTCTTCTACACCAAGGACTTCCAGGACCATGTCAGAATGGAGGGCCAAGAAAATGTGACCTTGTGCAGGTTTGGAGCCCCTATTCCCCCATGAATACTCGCTGAACTTCTGACCCCTGACCTTAAGTACTTCACTATCCCAGGTACCGGGACTACCGAAATGCCCATGACTACAACTTCTCTGAGAAATTCTGGTACATTCTGGCCGTCCGGCTGGCCTTTGTCATCCTCTTTGAGGTGAGCAGAATTGTGAGCGGGCCTGAGTGAGGGTGGTTCTCTTCCCCAGCCCCCAACTCCTAAAGGTTCTGCTTAGCCATTAACTTTGCTGGGCCTCTGCACGCTGTCACCCCCAGCACGTCGCCTTGTGCATCAAGCTCATTGCTGCATGGTTTGTGCCTGATGTGCCCCAGTCAGTGAAGAACACTGTATTGGAGGAGAAGTACAAGATACTTCGGAAGAAAATGCGGTAAGTAGAGTCTTGCTGGGCTGGGAGGGCAGGTCTCAGCCTGGGGACAGGCTGAGCCTCTGATTCATACTAACCCCATCTTTTCTGCAGCTACATTTCCAACAGCACAGATGTATAGGCAACTGGATCAAGCGGAGAAATGTTGGTCACCAGGAGCCTGGACTAGGAGTCTCCACCTCTATAGCTCGCCCCTGTCCATGGGTGTGTGTGTGTGTGTGTGTTTGTGTGTATGGGTATGTGTTGTGGGAGACACTAAACTGTCCCATGTGTATGTAGGAGCCCCTTGTATATATGTAGGTATATATGGGTATTTTAGGGAGCCCATGAATTACATGGGAGACTCTTGTATATGTAGGGGGTCACCAGAGTTCCATGTATATTCAGGGCAATTGCAAGCAGCACAGATATGCCTGTGGGGCTTGATCCATCTCTCTTAGGGTTCAGGCTTGGCACAGGCCTGAGTTGACCTGTGACCCTAGTGCCCATAGAACTGGAGGGTGCTGGCTTCTCATGCAGTCCCAACGCAGGAAAATCAGCCCTAGTTTTCTGGGCCCCTGTCTGGTTATCTAGGTCCGAGATCCTGCTCTGCTGCCTCTTAGCTGGCGGGGGACCCAAAGTCCAACTTTCTGACTTTCCTTTGACTGGCCTGGATTCCCACAGTCAGTAGAACGATCTATAATAAAAATAAACCCGTGTGTGTTGATTTCTGAGCCTCATGATATAGAGACAAGGTTTCCAGGGACTGTGTCTGCCCTGGGCTAGGTGGAGGCCTAGTGTGGAGGGTCTGGAATACGGTAGTCTCGGGCCATCTGCCCTTTCTCTGGTTTGCCTCAATGAGTGAGGGACATCTTACCGAAGAAGGTTCTCCACTCCACACACCTGGAGTTTTAGGATAGTAAGAGAAGACACGGTCAGTTTTGGGTGGGGCGTAGGTTAAGATAGGCTTCCAGGAGGAAATGGAATTGGTCAGGCCAGAGGGCCAGAACCACTAAGGTGGCCGGCAAGGCAGCTTTCCCTGGACTGGGCTGGCTGAGCTGGTTTGGTCACTGCCCCCAGGCTGGGGAGACTGCAATGCCGGTTTGAGCTCAGGACAGTCTCCAGCACCAGCCTCCGGCATCAAGCGGGACTCTAGGGTCCGCCCTCGCCCTGCCTGCGGGGCGGGGTTGCACCTGCCACTGGATCTGTAGTTGCTGCGCACCTAGGCCAGGTGAACTGCCCCGCCTCCGCGCGAGCCCCAGGTCTGGCAGCAGGTGGGTGGCAGTCGCAACTCAAACACGCGGAGGTGAGTGGATATTATGGCTCGTCATGGTTCCTGGACCGCTCCAGTTCTGGGGTTGGGGCCCAGAGCGCTCTATACATCGAGACGCCTCGGGGCCCGAGGTTCCGCAGGAAGTAGGTCTGAACCAGGCGGGTTTCCCCCGCACAGCCCGGAAGCACGAGTGCGCTGTGTCCAGTCCCCTTCCCTGGCCTTGCCCTTCCCACTCTGCCCGACGTGGTCAGTAACTTCCTCTTGACCGTCAGCGCGTGCCAGCAGACAGGCAAGGGGCACAGGACGCCACCTTCGCCCCCACGCACAGGTCCCAAGCCAGAGCACTCCTAGGAGCCCGGGACGGACCTACAGGCAGAGCTTCCGCCTACTTTGCGCGCCAGTGCCCGGTGCGCGCCCGGGCTCCCCGTAGGCGCACTTTCCCCTTCCGTGCGCGTCCCCGGCAGGTGTGCTGGCGAGCTCCTGTGGGGTCCGGGAAAACTGTGCGCCACCCCGGAAGGCAGAGGGCACGATGTTGGTGCACGGTGGGCTGGGGGAGTCAGTACCCACGAGGCCTTTGATGTACGCCGCTTCCTTCCAAAAAGACGTTTAGGGGCTCAAACACACAGTGGGACCACAAGTCAGAGTTGGGCAGGAGCCGGCGCTGAGCTGGAAGGGAAGCGGATTCTGGTCGCCTTGTCCACAGCCTTAGGGCACACACACGACTGGGAGCACGGGGTGCCTGGGGAGCTCAATGACTGGGCCTGAGGCTTTCCAGGAACCTGTAAAGTGGCAGTTGTGCTGGGTGACCCAAGGGGCCAGGCTGGGATTTAAAATCCCAGGCTCTGGAGTGCCTCCAAAGGACAGCAGGGGTAAGTGTCTGAGGTCATCTAGGTTTATGTGCTCACCCAGCAAAACTGACCTGCAGCGAGCAGACTGCAGACAGAGGGGAGAAGAGTATCCAGGCAGGACCCTGAGAGAGGGTGACACAGATTAGGTGCAGGGCGCTCCAAACATAATGCCATGCCCATCAGGGAGCAAGGCTGGTTGGGGGCACTGGCTTCAGTATTGAGGCACCTACCTCTACTTCTGGCCTGGGTGTGCCTGAGCTTAGCTGTGTTTGTTTCTTGACTTGTGCTGTAGGAAGCCCAGAACTGCATCTGGGGAGTTCAGCTAGTTAACTGCATGGGATGCTCAGGAGACCTCTGAGGCACCTTCAGGTAGGCTCCACAAGCTTGAAGGAAGGGCAGCCCTGAGTTAAAGGTGACCCATTACCCAGGGATTGTGAATGCTGGGCCACAGGGGCTTGAGCAGAGTTGGGTTGTTGTCAGGTAAGGTGGCAGGAAAGCCTGTTCTTGTACTGAAGATGCTCCTAGGTGTCCTGAGCCAGGGGCAAGGAGACCCCAGGGGAACTTCTAGGACTTGCTCCTGTAGCTGTGTGAGTGAGGGGAAGGCCACGAACTGGAGGAGACCCTTGTCCAATTCTACGGGCAATGCCACTGGGCCCCAAGTTGTAGGACAATTGGGGGGGTAGGAGTCAGTGGTAACAATAGGGCAATAGCCAGAGGCTTGTGGCTCCTGTGTTTGCCTCTTTACCTGGAAAAGGGGGCTCTCTGCTCTCACCTCAGTCTTAAGCTGATGTTGATGAGATGCCATAGCCCTTTGCAACCACTTATCTAAGTCTGTTGCCTGGGAGGTGGACAGAGTGAGGACCAGAAAGCTCTGCTCTAGGTTTCATTATTAGCCTCCAGATTCTGAGGGATTCCCCTTTGCCATGGCAGGTAATAGGTCATATATGAGGCTGTTCACTTTTGTGGGGGAGTAACATAATTCCTCCCTTCTACTCCTGACTGTAGTGACAAAAATGAGAGCCAAGTGTGGTGGTGCACTTTAATCACAGCACTCAGGAGGCAGAGGCAGGAGGAGCTCTGTGAGTTCACCGCCAGCTTGGTCTACATAGCAAGTTCCAGGTCAGTTAGGACTACATAGTGAACGCCTATCTCAAAACAAAACAAAAGAAACAAACAAAAAAATTGAGGGTATCAGGGAAGCAGGAAGCACCCCCTGCCCAGCCGATCTTCCTTGTGGGGGATCTCCTTGCCAGGGTTCAACCTCTGCTTCTTGGAGCATCTACCCTCACTCTGGCACAAAAGCAAGGGCAGTGCTTAGAGACTGGGACAGTCTCCAGAGAAAGGGGCTTCCTGACTCAGAGTAACAGGAAGAGCCAGGCAAGGCGGGGCAAGAACCACCAATGGCCCAGTCTGCTAGAGGAAGGGGTGGGTGCCTGGGTGGGGTTTAGGTTTAGGAGAGGATGTGACTGTAAGGCCAGGAAACTTAGGGGGAAAGTTCTGATTAAAACTTCATCAACAAAAGCCAGGTCCTCCCTCACTGTGCTTAGTGATGCATTGTGGGCTACCACAGTACTGTGGCTGCTCTCTGGGGCCCAGCTGAGGGGACAGTTTGCTCCCAAGCGCACATCAATGACCAGCTCCCCTCAGGAGAAAAGAACCGGAACCAGGTGACTGTGCCCTCCCTCCTACTCTGAGTGAGCCTGTGGCCTTGCCATCTGCCCTAGGAGCTGGGCCTGGCTGAGGAGAGGCCCATGATGCTGAGGTGCATGAGAGCACTCCACACGTATGCATGTGTGTGTGCTTGTGGCCCCTGGGGTCTTCTGGGGGTGAGCTGGTGAGGTGTGTGCAGCCTGAGCCCTATGTGAGGTAGTGAAAGGCAGTGTTGCAGGATGTACATTGTATGGAAGATGCATGTGAGCACACTGGCCAAGGTGAGCTCGGTGAAGCTGAGTGGGGACCAGAGGGTCTGTATCTGTGTGGGATGTGAAAGGGAAAAAGATATAGGAGAGAGCACCTGCTGCCTCACTGAGTTACATCCTGGAGGTTTGGCCTTGACTTCTAGCAGAGTCTGAGGCTGCCTTTGCAGGAGTTAAGGTCTTCTGAGCTTGAGGAGATTGAGGGGCTGCATCAAGACGTACTCTGGGACCTGCTGGGCTAGGGTAGGTTCTTTTGGTCACTTTGTGAGGAGTCTGTTGCATGAGAAGCCTGTCTTCTATAGACCCTCAGTGGGTGGTTCTTCTGCTTCAAGGATTGTACTAGGACCACCACCTACCCCTAAAGGGTTTGCCATCCCTGACAGGAATGTGCCTCTTCCTGGACTAGTTCCCAAGGAGAATGCTATCCAGCCAAGCCTGGAATTTCTGGCTGAGCATTACCCAGTGCAGAATGAATGGGGGACAGGATAAAAGGCTCAACTCTACTAAAATTTTGGGGGTGGGGAGACACTGAGACAGGCCAGACACAGGGTTTCAGGGCTTGACTCCATGTTCCTGATGTCCATGTGTCCACTCAGCATGGAAGCTGGTAGGAACTCAGTAAATGCTTGTTGGAAAAAAGAGGGTGAACCTAGGGCACCCAGGAAGGAGGGAATAGGACCACCTAGGGCCCTGGGCTGCTAGATAAAAACATTCTGACCACCTCCTTGTGTCATGCTACTGCAGAACTTTTTGAGTCCCAGATGTATATAGTTGCTGTGGTCTGAGAATGGCCCAGGGCCCTGTATAGGAGTCACTTGTGATTGTGGTACTCAGAAGGGTTTCTATCCCAGTCTGGTTCTCATTTGTCTCTCCTGGCTTGATGAGCTCAGGACCCAGCTGAATCTCAGGGTGTCCACAGGTATGATGTGTGTCCATTCACATGTACATGAGTGACTGCATCCAGAGCAAAATCAGTTAGGAATTAGTTTAGGCCAGTCAGGCAGCCAGATTCCCACTCATGGCTCATGTCCCCCCAGTTCCCAGGTGCTGGCTAGGTGATTGGCAGCCATGCCCTCACCTATCTGCATACAGTAGTCCATTACAAGGGACAGTAGGAATGAGGCTAACTGGCATTCCACGAGATCAGATTCTGCCTGGAGCATGTCCGCTGTACCCCTGAATCACTACAGTGGTCCCAGCACAAACGAAGGTGGTCCCTCGTCCCCTCCCCCAAGTCTGTGTGAGGCAGTGTCTATTCTGGCCGTGTTGGTGTCCAGGAGCTCACCTAGCACTGTAAGACAGGCCAGGGTTTCAGGGCAGCCACCTGGTGTTCAACCAGTGCTGTCTGTGGCTGACAGTTACTGGTTAACTCATCCTGTTCCTGTTTAACATGTCCCCTGGGGATGGCTGCAGCCTCTGACCTGTCCAGACACCCTGCCCAACCAGCTGAAAAGACAGAGAAGAATCCTCCTCAGCCTTCAGTGGACCCATCTGCTGGATTAAGGAGCCCCCGTGGAGCCAGGGGTGGCACAAGTATCCAGCCTGCCGTGAAGAGGCCCCTGTAGAGACATGGCAGGTAGGCAGGTCAGAGAGGGCCAGGCCTAAGTCCTCACCTCCATTCCCACTGGTCAGATGGGCTCCACTCTACACTTTCTGCTCCCATCCTGGTCTCTGGGCATGGACACATGTCAGAGTGTAGGCCTGTGTGTGCTCATTCCTCCTCTCCAGCAGTAGTTGGTCCTGAACTTAGGGCAGGCAGTGAAGATGGGAGCCTCTAGTCCTCTCTTGCCTAAGGCCTCCTGACCATGCATATGAGACTCAGTAAAGCCTAGGAATCCCCATGTAGGGGATGGGTGTGGGTGTGGAATGAGGTGATTGCCATGGGTGTGGTGGTGCATGCCTGTAATCCCGGCACTCAGGAGGCAGAAGCAGGCCAGCCAGGGTTATACAGTGAGACCTTGATTCAAAGGAGGAGGAAGAAGAGGGGGATGGGGAGTGGAAGGGGGAGGGGAGAGAGAGAGAGAGAGAGAGAGAGAGAGAGAGAGAGAGTTAGTTAGTTCATTCAGCCCTCAGGGAGAAGGGGAGGCTAAGCCTGTGGCAGGTCCTGAAAGCCTTGACTCCAGCTTGCCTTGTCCCTGCAAAAGATGCTAGAACACTATGTGACTACTCTTTCAACCTGTTGGTACCTATATTTATTGCAGCCATTCAGTAGAAACAGGCTGGGCCTAGGGGTACAGATTCTGGCCCCTAATCTGAGAGGGCACTGTGGAGGCTGGACTCATGTCCTGTAGGGATGAGCCAACAGATAGGTCCCTTGTGGCTGGGTAGGGTCAGTTCAACTATGACTCTGGTCATTCCCCCTGATAATGTTTTCCCTGGCAAGGCTGTCACATCTAAGCCAGCAGAACACAGATTGGCCACAGCTGGTAGAGATGTGCTACACCTGAGGTTTGGCCTAGAGGACCCATGGATGGACATGGTGTGACCATTGAGGAGCATACACCACTTGCCCACTGCCTCGTTTTTTTCCTGGATCACAAAGCATCTGTGGATAGAGTGGGAGCTGGCATTCCAGCATGGCTGATCTGTTGTACTTTCTCTGCAGGTATCTGTGACAGGGCTCCTAACTTCCTCTCCCCATCTGAAGACCAGGCCTTAGGACCTGCCCTGGGAAGCGCAGTTGCTTTGAATTGCACAGCTTGGGTAGTCTCTAGGCCCCAGTGTCCACAACCTTCAGTACAGTGGCTAAAAGATGGGCTGCCATTGAGCAATGGAAGTCACTTCAACCTCCATCAGGACTTCTGGTAAGAGACTGAGGTGTCCAGGGTCTGAGTGACCACCTGACATACCCATGGTCAACAGCCTTTCTGGCCTACACCCTGGTCTATAACCACCTGGACAGGGGCTGGGCTATGTAGTACATGGCAAAACCTGACATGGGCAGAGCATTCCTATGGGCACAGATAGAAAGCTGACTTTGGGGACAGGACCTAGGGTCTTCATGACCCCTACAGATAACTTGTAGACTGTCTGGGGATATGGGTACTAGTAGAGTCCAAGCTCCTGAATGGGTGATTGATTGGCCAAGCCTGTAATCAGAGGGTCCCTAGGACTCAGACCCAAGATCAATCAAGGTGTCAGCCCTGAAATAGTGATACCACTTCCAGGTATTGGGCACTTAGCCCAAATCTGCAGCCTCCTTGGGAGAGTCCTATACAGGTGGTACTTGGACATCCACTGATGTTCTTGGGCCACAGGTGAGGGCTGGGCCTGGTTTCTCCAGGGTCAGCACCAATTTCTCAGAGGTTGTATCCAGTGTTCTGATGCTCAACTTGACCAGTGTTGAGGACTATGGAGCCTTCACCTGCTCTGTCTGGAACATCAGCTCCTACTCTTTCACTCTCTGGAGAGCTGGTGAGGGGGTTCATGGGGGTGGAAGGCAGGGGTTTCCTGGAGTCGTGATGTTAAGGGATAGTGATTCTCCCTGTCTGCAGGCCCTGCTGGCCATGTGGCTGCAGTGCTAGCCTCCCTCCTGGTCCTACTGGTTCTGCTGCTGGTGGCCCTGCTCTATGTGAAGTGCCGCCTGAACGTGCTGCTTTGGTACCAAGACACCTATGGGGAGGTGGAGATGAACGGTGCGTGTCACCTTGGGGCCTGGGGCACAGATCCGTGCAGGGTCTTTCTTGAAGAACTGCATTCTAGGGTAGGTTCTGGGTGGAGGGAGTTTTAGCTCTAGCGCTCTGGAGTGTACAGTCTCAGAAAGGGGGTGTCTCAGAAGGGCAGAGAGCTGGGAGAAACAGAATGAGTCCTGGGCCCCGGATGGCTTGTTTGGAGACGTGCTGGGTGTGGGGTAGAGGCTGTGGCTCAGACCCTATAACTGGCCGCGCTCCTCTCCGCAGATGGAAAGCTCTACGACGCCTACGTGTCCTACAGTGACTGCCCCGAGGACCGCAAATTCGTGAACTTCATTCTGAAGCCTCAGCTGGAGCGGCGTCGGGGCTACAAACTCTTCCTGGACGACCGGGATCTCTTGCCGCGAGCAGGTACCGTTGCGTCCCTTACTCCGCCTGGCCCCTAGGGGTTCCCGCCGGCCTCGTACCCGCCCCGCCCCTCATTCCGCCGCCCCCGCCCGCAGAACCCTCCGCAGACCTGCTGGTGAACCTGAGTCGCTGCAGGCGCCTCATTGTGGTGCTTTCAGACGCCTTCCTCGGTCGGGCCTGGTGCAGCCAGAGCTTCCGGTGCGTCCCGCGGGAGGCTGGGGGTGGGGGGCCCGGAGCGCGCCGTGCCTGACGCTCCCGCCCCCGCAGGGAAGGGCTGTGCCGCCTCCTGGAGCTCACTCGCAGACCCATCTTCATTACCTTCGAGGGCCAGAGGCGCGAGCCCCAGCACCCTGCGCTCCGACTGCTGCGCCAACACCGCCACCTGGTGACCCTGCTGCTTTGGAAGCCCGGCTCCGTGGTGCGGGGGTCGGGGGTTTGTGAGTGGGAGCCTGCGGTGTTGGGGGACGGGAGCCGGGGACCAGCGGACTCTGCTGTTAGCAGTGAACTCTTTGGGTCTGGGTGACTAGAGGCTTCTAGTTTGTAGACCCCGTGTGTTTACACTGATGGCCCAAACCTGGCCCCCAGATGCCTTCCTCCGATTTTTGGAAAGAGCTACAGCTCGCACTGCCACGGAAGGTGCAGTACAGGCCAGTGGAAGGAGACCCCCAGACCCGTTTACAAGATGACAAGGATCCCATGCTGATTGTGAGAGGACGAGCTGCTCAGGGCCGGGTCGTGGAGTCGGAGTTGGATCCAGACCCAGAAGGAGACCTGGGTATGCCCACCTGGCTTCACTGCTGCCCAAGGGGACAGGCACAGCTCCAGGGCCCTAGAAAGGACCCAGGTGTGGAGGACCCTGGAATTAAGGGCCCCGCCTCTTACCCTGGAGATGCTGTGCTCTCAGGCCTCCATGGGGAACTTTAGAGTGCCACTGTGGGTGTGGGAGATGAGCAGGGAGTGACCCCCTAGGTTACAGGTCCTGGTGGAAGATAGGCTGTGGGCCATCCAGCCTTAAGCCTTGTGGTATCTTGCAGGTGTACGTGGGCCTGTCTTTGGGGAGCCACCAGCTCCACTGCATTCAAGTGGGGTATCCATGGGAGAGGGCCAAGGCAGCGAGATGGACGTCTCTGACCTTGGCTCACGGAACTATGGTGCTCGAACAGACTTCTACTGCCTGGTGTCTGAAGATGATGTGTAACCCTTGCCCTGGTAACCCAGAGCACAGGATCATGGTGGCAGTTTCTGGGATAGGGACAGGTACCCCTCCTGCCTAGAACCACAACCCTTGCCTGTAGCCCTGGGCCCCTCAGGGAAGGAGTGTGGCTCCAGGATATCACAAAGTAAAGTCCTCTTGACTCTTGGCTGGGCCTGCTTCTCTTCTGGTTGGGTACTGTTAGACCTATTTTTGCTTCCATCTCAAGTTCTATAAGGCCCTGTCTCCCAAGCTGTTTATCTACTCAAATCTACCCTCCATCCTGA